GAGTGGGGAAACTCTGATGGGCGTGGCAAGGGGCTTTCTTGTTGCTCCCAATTTGAATCCCATACTTACAGTTTGGAGCTGACCACAGACCAAGAAGAAAGAGGCAGGTACCTCCCCACCCGCTCCTGGTGCAAGCACTCAGCAGAGAGTGGGCATTTCTGAAAACCAGGTCACCTCTCACAGAACAACACAGTGATATGATATGGACAGGACTTTCCCAGCGATCACAGGACCCTTCAAATGCCGACCCCAGTTACTGATGACGACATTCCCGGGCCTGGCTTCCTCTCAGCCGTCTCCTCGTCACTGGGCTTAGCGTGTGATGTGAAGGACACTCGGGAGATGAAGGCAGCTTTCCCTCAGCACCCCTGGACTTTTGGGCCACCCCACCCTCAACCCGTCCAGCATGTGCACGCTTAGAGAATATGAATGAGTTGGCCGGGCGCGGTGGCTCACGCCTGTAATCCCAGCACTTTGGGAGGCCGAGATGGGCGGATCATGAGGTCAGGAGATCGAGACCATCCTGGCTAACACGGTGAAACCCCATCTCTACTAAAAATACATTTAAAAAAATAAGCCGGGTGTGGTGGTGCGTGCCTGTAGTCCCAGCTACACGGGAGGCTGAGGCAGGAGAATGGTGTGAACCCGGGAAGCGGAACTTGCAGTGAGTGGAGATCACGCCACTGCACTCCAGCCTGGGCGACAGAGCAAGACTCTGTCTCAAAAAAAAAAAAAAAGAGAATATGAATGAGCTCATTGAACATAAGCAAGGAGTTCGTATTGGCTGTGCTTCTGAAATCATGCCATGCCACCAAAGCCAAAAAGATGAGGCTCTGGACAATAGCCAGCCATCGCTACCTCCCACCATGGCAAATAGTTCACAGATGACACTCCAGGCGATCTGATTATCATACACAGCAATTTTTGAGCATCTGCTATGTGTACTACAAAGAGACCAACAATGGAGTCCCTGCCATCTCGGGGCCACTGTGGAGAGGCGTATCAACAGATGACAGGAGTGGTCAGATGACATAAAGAGAAGAGTCACAGGATGACAAGCCACACAGACACAGGGTCATGTAAGAGCCTCATGTAAGAGCTCATGTAAGAGCCTCAGTCTTAAGAGGCAGAGACGTTGGGCAAAGGGAGTGGTCACGAGTGCTGTTGCTGCCAGGGAGGCATTCCAGGGAGGCTGGAGCTGGACCTTAAAGGAAGAGAAGGACAGAAGTCATTCTTCACATCACGCACTCTCTATGGGTAACTCACATGAATGTCGTGTAATGAAGATAAAGGCATCCAGAAAAAGAATCGCCCGTGGGCATGTAGATTTCCTTTCCCAGGGTGGCCCCTTCTCAGCCACTGGCACACACAAACACTTCCTACCCTTCCTCCCCAGAGCTGGCCAGCGCAGCAGGCAGCTCACCTGCCACATATGCAGCTGCCCGAGGGCGCTGTGGGGATGGGTCTGGGTTCAAATCCTGGCTTTGCCACCTCCCAACAAATCCTGGCTTTGCCACCTCCCAACTGTGTACTATGGGGCAAGTCCTGTAGCCGATGAGCTGGGCTGATCATTCTGACCTGGCAGGGCTATGAGGAAGATGCATACAACACTAGTTAATCCTCTAGGACAGCACCAAATGCTACCACCCAGTCAAGCTTCTTAAAAAGTCTTTCCTAGGGCCGGGCGCAGTGGCTCATGCCTATGATCCCAGCACTTTGGGAGGCCGAGGCAGGAAGATCACCTGAAGTCAGGAGTTTAAGACCAGCCTGGCCAACATGGCAAAACCCTATCTCTACTAAAAATATAAAAATTAGTCAGGCATGGTGGCACGTGCCTGGAATCCCAGCTACTCGGGAGGCTGAGGAAGGAGAATCGCTTGAACTCGAGAGGCGGAGGTTGCAGTGAGCTGAGATCATACCACTGCACTCCAGCCCGGGCAACAGAGCAAGACTCCCTTTCCAAAAAAAAATAACTAATAGACTGGGCACGGTGGCTCACGCCTGTTATTCCAACACTTTGGGAGGCCAAGGTGGGCAGATTAAGAGGTTGGGAGTTTGAGACCAGCCTAACCAACATGGTGAAACCCCTGTCTCTACTAAAAATACAAAAAATTAGCTGGGTGTGGTGATGCATACCTGTAGTCCCAGTTACTCGGGAGGCTGAGGCAGGAGAATTGCTGGAACCTGGGAGGCAGAGGTTGCAGTGAGCCAAGATCACGCCACTGCACTCTAGCCTGGGTGACAGAGTGAGACTCTGTCTCAAATAATAATAATAATAAATTAATTACTTAATTTAATGAAATAAAAAGTCTCTTCTGGGTATCCTCCATCACAAAGTGCATCTGTGGGCGGCTGTGTGTGTGCTCTGGCTTCTACAAGCCCCCTGCCTACTGGGATTAGGGCTCAACCCTGCCTAGGGAGCAGCTTCCCCAGCTCTGAGCTCCAAGGCCAGTCACCTCAAAAAGGAAAAATCTGCCCCAGGGGATGAGGAGTGAGACTTGGAGATATGTGGTCCTATAGACCCTCCTGGCTGAAGAAGCCATGAACCCTGGGGATCAGAAAAAAGTGGCATGTCTGCCCTCAGTGCTGCCGCCTCTAGCTGCTGAGAGCACAACACAGAGTGCCAAGGCTCTGCAAACTGAGCCTGGTTCAGCCCACAAAGGGGACAGGGGCGGCCTGGCTGGTCTGTAACCTTTGGAAGGATTTTCAACATTTCTGAAGTTGGGTGTGCCAGTGTTTTGTTTTTATCTTGTACTTCCTTCATTGGTAGAAAACAGATTGAAAAAAATCTTAAAACATTGATGACCCTGGATCAGGGCACATGCTCTCCCAAACTGATTTAGAATTGTTGCATGGTCCCAGGGCAAATCTAAAGTTAAAAGACCTTATTTGCCACTAGGTTTTAAAAGCTTCAGGCAGCGGGTTTTGGATCATTTAATAAAAAATAAAACCCAGGTCAGATGCAGTGGCTCACATCTGTAATCCCAGCACCTTGGGAGGCCGAGGCAGGCAGATCACCTGTGAGGAGTTCAAGACCAGCCTGGCCAACATGGTCAAACTCTGTCTCTACTAAAAATACAAAAATTAGCCAGGCATGGTGGCACTCACCTGTAGTCCCAGCTACTCAGGAGGCTGAGGCAGGAGAATCGCTTGAACCCAGGAGGCAGAGGTTGCAGTGAGCCGAGATTGCACCACTGCACTCCAGCCTGGGCGATAGAGTGAGACTCTTTCTCGGAAAAACAAATAAATAATAAAATAAAATAAAACCCAGAAGGCACAGGTTACCCATTCTGTGTCCTCTCACATTGCTTCCCTGAACCCACAGGGCTGGAGGAAAGCAGGGCTCTGAAGCCCTCGGTCACGTGGTTCTCAGGACCCTGGCAAGGTAGTTTACTCACCTTTGGCAGCATGACCTGCCTCCAGTATTTCTGCGAGAATTAAGGGAGCTGCCATACGTAAAGCAAACACTACTGAGGCTTTGAACCTCGCTGTCTTTGAGGGGTGGATACTGGTGAGAAACACAGGCTTATACGTAACTGAGAACAGGTGGGAGTGTGGGACTCCCACCCGAGAAGCGGCAGCAGCTGACCACTTCCTCAACCCTCAACCCCTCACAGCCACCGCTACAGGCCCACCACCACCAGCTGAATTCCCTTAAGTACTTTATTGTATACTCAGATCCCCAACTGGCTTCCCAGTGACAGCACAATATAAAACCACAAACCACCTGTATTTTACAAAGTATCTGGAAAGCATGCCGAAAATGTAACAAACCCAAGTTGGAGGTTTTGTCTGAAGACTATAAAACCAGTACTAGGACTGCGCAGAGCACAGCAGGACCTGGTTTCTCTCTCCGAGCTATTTTCTGAAAATGGGCCAGGACCCAAATGCACACACTGGGCTCCCAGGCAGGCTACCCACATCTCATTCATCTGGGAACATCAGGAGGCCAGAGAGGCCCGGGATCCACTGCAGTTTAGTGCTGGAGCCTCAAGTATGTGTGGAGGAGAGTGTGGAGCCCCTACAGGCCCGAGGGCACTGCCTGCCAACCCCATGCCCCCACCACATCCTCCCCAAGCAGATCAAGGGGGATAGGAAGAGGCCATAAGACCTTCACAAACTCTTTTCCAGCTCAATGTGAACACTACTTAATCTTCCCGTTCACTTCATTCCATCCTGCCCCAATGCAGAATAAACCATCCCTTGAGTGTGTTCCAGAATGTTCTAGCACTTTCTGAGCTGTTTCCTCTGCTTCTTGTGTGCTTCTTGGGGGATAAGGCCATAGATCCCCCATGCCTGGTGTGGTGTCTGGCTTGTGGTAGGTGTGAATAAACATTTGTCATCTTGAGGTGACTAGCAATGAAGGAGCTGGAATGGCCACCTAAGAATACCTTAAAGGCTTAGCAACATGAAATGATGCCCTGAGGCCAGAAGGTGCGTTTTTTCATCCTCACACACCGCTATCTGCTGCACTAGAACAGGTGAATTTTGTGGTGGTCCCCACAGACTGGCACCCAGAGATGTGCCCTCACTATCCCTCCCCAAGCTCTGACTCTGGAACAAATGGCAGCAGACTTCTCTGGACACGAGTTATTAACTCTTTATTCCGTTAGTGACCAATACAAAGCACCACGGACACAGCAGGGGCCCTCCCGAGAACCTAGGCAAGGCAAAGAAGGGGGACGCAGGGGACCTCTGGGGCCCAGGGCTGGCCTGGCCTAGGTGAGGGGGAAGCTTTCCCAGCCTGCCTCCGCCGGCAGCCATGAGAGAAACCACTGGGGAAGCGGGACTACTGAGTGAACAGTCAAACCACCTGTCAATGCTCCTCCTTCCCCAGAGCACCAGGGGTGCAGTGAGGAGAGGGCTTCTAGAGGGCCAGAGAGAGATCTGTGGGGTGGCTCAGGGTGGACACTGAACTTCAGAGGGGACAGTGTGTGTGCGTATGCATGTGTGTGTGTGTGCGTGCGTGTGCGTGTGTGCGTGCGTGTGCGTGTGTGTGCGTGCGTGCGTGTGCGTATGCGTCTGTGTGTGCGCGTGCGTGTGCGTATGCGTGTGTGTGTGCGTAGGTGGGCAGATGCCTACACTACTTAGCATATGGGATTTAACTGCTGAGCCACACGACCTGCCTGGAGACAAAGGAGGCCAGGAACCAGGGACTCAGAGCGCCAGGGCCTGGGAGAGGGGCCTGGGGCAGAGGCCACCCACCCCACTGCTTGGTCTTGCAGAGGGCAGGCGGCTCCGCTGGAGCAGGTCTCGGGCAGACACCTCCCACAGGCTTGGGGGGAGGGGCCACCTCTGGCCCCACCCACCTCACGTATAGGCCATCTTGCTGCACACCCAGGGCCGGGTCATCAGACACTCCGTCGACACCAGCCTGGTGGGCTCCACGAAGACACACTCCCCTGGACCTGCGATGGTGAACCTGTGGCCAGGAGAGAAGACCAGGCGTTTATGATCTGGGACATTCAGCCCAAAACCCAGTGGCAGGGGAGGCCATGGAGGCCCTGAGGCCTATCCCTCCCTCACTTCATCACTGGAGCTGCCTTCTAGGACATTTGTGCTGACAGACTGTTCTAGCTTGGCATTCCATTGTCTTCCTACTCTGTGCACTGTAGCTTCAGCCACCCCGGCACGCCGCTCAGACACGTCCTGGACACACACACACTTCCCCATTCTCCATGTCCTTGCAGGGTTGGCTCACAGGTCCCAGGCTCCATGACACCCAGTTCAGGGCCACTCTCTGCCCACCCTACCTCCCCACAGTCCCCTGCCTGCTCTGTGGGGCACTCCCACAGCCCCCTGGGGCCTCTACCTGTCTGTCCACACAGGTGCCCAAAGCAGTCAGCTCCTGAGCAGCGAGCTCTGTGTCCTCTCATCTTGGCCCCCTGCAATGCGCAGAGTCAAGCACACAGGAGGAGCTCCGCAGAGCTGGCTGAAGTCAGCTACCCCTCACAGGTTAGGGGCAGGCGGCAATAACCCCAATATGGGCTAACTGAGGCTGTGTTGCCCAGGAACTCATTGACATCACACACAGATGTGTGCGGTAGGAAGATTCCCCCCTACCTAAAATCACCCCTTTCCAGCCTCAAAGGTTTCTTCTTAACCTTAGTTGTTCACCCAGACCTCCGATCCCTGCCAAGGTTGGAGGTAGACCCTCACAACAGAGGGCATTGGAAGGACCCCAAGAAGGAGTGTAAGGGAAAGAACCTCTGCAGCGTCTGAGAAATGTGGCCAAAGGCCCCTTGGTTGCCAGGTGGTCAGGATGCCACAGACCCCAACCTGCAGGGCTCTGAGAGCAAGAAGCTTCCAGAAAGGCAGGGAGAGGGGTGGAAAGTGCAAGACCTGCTCAGCCACTCTGAGAGCAGACCTGAGAGGGGGACAGGAAAGTGGATGAGAAACGGAAGGGGCACTGAGGCCAGAGTAAGGGGCAAAAATGAAGAGTGCTTGAGATAAGGAAAAGGAGAAGGAGGGGAAGCATCATGAATGCCCCTGCCTCCAGGGCTGCCATGGGCGTGACTGCCTAAGCCACCCTCAGGTGGGAGGGCAGCTGATGGCCACCTCTGGCAACCAGGAGGATCCGAGGGTCTCAGACGCCCTTCTGCTTTAGCCCTTGCCTTGGGGACGCTCACGTGTCATCATCATCGGGTTAGGAGCTGTGTTCCCCACCCCACCCCATGCCCTCCCGCTGGCACCTCAGAGCCTATTCCTCTAGCCACAGGGTCTATTCTGAGGGTCCCACTCCCCTGTATGTACCTCCCTGCATTTCTCTAGGCCTAGACCACTCCTTTCCCCACGCCCCACACAGTCCCCACTGTACTGCCACAGCCACACATCTGCCACCCACTCCACCCATAACCATCACCCCTACACCACACACCAGACCCTGCATCACATACTCATTTCCACACCACGTGAGTCTTACAAAACCACCACGGCACACGCCACCACCTCAGCAGTGCCCCCTCCATCAAGAGATGCGTTCGCCAGGAAAATGTGGCCTAGAACACTTCCGGGTGCCTGCCTTCACATCCCCTTTCTTCCACAGCTACGGTGCTTAGGTGCCAAGTGGCTGCCCAGGACGAAGGCGCGTCTCCCATCCTCCCTTGCGGCCAGGTGCTGCCATGTGACTAAGTTCTGGCCAATAGGGTGAGGCCATCCAGGGCCCTCCCTCCCGTTCGCTGTCCTGTTGGGGCTGAATGGGATATGGTTGTGCCAGAGTGGAGCTGAGGAGCGCCAGGCTGCATGGATCGGGGACTCAAGGGTGGAGAGACCCTGGGAAGCTCCGATGGCTTCACAGGGCAGAGCCACCAAGCCAGGCTGGACTTTTGTGAGAGAGGGAGAAGTACAGGCATTTTCATGACTGGGTCTCTGGCGCACGCTGCGGGACCCCGAGACTAGTATCTCTAGCTAGCACAAAACCAAGGGCTTCTCTCTTCGGGAGCTGTGTCCAGGGGGTGAGTCAGGCCTTTCTCAGTCTAAGCTCGGTGGCCAGAAGATGAAGCCTCAGCTCACGTGTCTGGATCAAACGGGTCCCCGTTGACCCAGTGGAATTCGTCCCCAACTCTGCGTAGTCCAATCCAGGGCTCCCTCCGCGTGAACTTGAACATAAATTCCTGCACCGAGGAAAGAGGGACACCTGCGGTCAGATGCGGTCTCCTGTCACATCCCAAGACAAACCTCAGCTTGGAAGATACTGGCTCTCGGGAGGTACAGACGCCAGGCGAGTGACTGCTGTCTCGCTGCATCCCGAAAGTGAGGAGCTAGGCTTAGAGGGTCCTCCGCAGTCACACTGCCAGAGTTCGGCTCCGAGCTGCTCGCTGACCTCACAGCAATTGCCTCCGACCGCTTGAAAGGGACCCTGGCTCTGTGTGCACACCCACTGACCAGGAAGGCCGTACAGGGCTTGCCCTCCTAGCTCAGCAGGCCAGCATTCCTGATTTGCAGGAAGCTTGGGGATTGCCCACTGGATGGAGGATCTGGGACAAATCTCAATGCTCAGGTTGGTTGTCCTACCTGCAAATTTCTGGGACTTTCCCTGCAGACTGGGGATATCATACTGTGTATCAAAGGCAAACAGAAGTGATTTTTAGATTATCTTCTATTTTGGTTAACACCACTGTTAACCTCAAAATCCAAAACAGCCAATAGACTCCATTAATTGTATTTCTTTCATGTTTCTGTTGCTAAAACTGTTTTGGATGTTAAATGAGAGACCATATCCTGATTTGGATCTTTAGAAAATGACAACGTGTTTTTACATTTCACAATGCATTTATAATTTGTAATTCTTTTTTCCTTTTTTTTTTTTTTTTTTTTTGTATTTTTAGTAGAGACAGAGTTTCACAGTGTTAGCCAGGATGGTCTCGATCTCCTGACCTCGTGATCTGCCCACCTCGGCCTCCCAAAGTGCTGCGATTATAGGCGTGAGCCACTGCGCCCGGCCAATTCTTTTTTTCTTAAGAAACAAGTCTTGTGGCTGGGCACAGTAGCTCACACCTGTAATCCCAGCACTTTGGGAGGCCTAGGCAGGTGGATCACTTGAGGCCAGGAGTTCGAGCCCAGCCTGGCCAACATGGTGAGACCCCGTCTCTACTAAAAATACAAAAAGTAGCCAGGCGTGGTGGCGCACGGCTGCAGTCCCAGGGACTCAGGAGGATGAGAATCGCTTGAACCCAGGAGGCGGAGGCTGCAGTGAGCCGAGATGGCACCACTGTACTCCAGCCTGGGCGACAGAGTGAGACTGCCTCAAAAAAAAAAAAAAGAGAGACAAAGTCTTGCTATGTTACCCAGGCTGGCCTTGAACTCCTGGGTTCAAGTGATCCTCCTGCCTCAGCCTCCTAAGTAGCTGGGACTACAGGCACGCTCCACCATGCCCAGCTAGTTTTCCTTTTACTTTTTGTAGAGCTAGGGTCTTACTGTGTTGCCCAGACTAACTTCCAACTCCTGGGCTCAAGTGATCCTCCTGCCTCAGCCTCCCGAGTAGCTGGTACTAGAGGTGTACCAACTTTATAATTGGTCATTCTTATGGTTTATAATGCTAAGTGACCTCAACCAGTGGGCCTTGGATTGAAATAGGTGGCCTTGACAATGGAAGTGGAAACTGGAGCCACTCATTGACGTGCTCAGACCATGAGGTCTTCCTGCACCCCCAGTGGTTATGCAGCAGGTGGTGGCTTTGGAGATGGGTCACAGGGAACACTGCATCCTTTAGGGTGTGACTGTCCCCTAGAGTCAAGGTTGGGGGCCCTGAAGATCCCTTCCCCCGCCGCCCTTCACCTCGGCACACTCACCAGCTCCTTCTGGCTCTGAATCACAGCCAGCACTGCCTCGTGGGTGTGGCAGTACTGCCTGCCTGTGTTCCAGTCTCTGGGTTCCTCAGAAAAGAAGTAACACTTTCTTCCGTAGAGCAGCCAGTCCTCTGGGCAGGGCGCTTCACACTTGATGCAGCCCTTGGAAGCTGCAGGGAAGAGACCGGCTTGGCCCTGCCCGCCCCACTCCCCGGCCAGAGTCCCACTCTGCTTTCTGTGGCCCCCTCCCCCGCCTCAGCTTTGGCATCCTCCAAGGACACTGCAGGCGTGGCTGTCCTCTCCGGTAAGCACCTCTCCTGGTGCCTGGAGGTAAAAGGGTGGCCACTAAATGAATGAGAAAGGGGACAGTGGGAAGCCTGGCAGGCGTCACCGCAAGGGGACATGACAGCGGCGCAGCCACTGGGTTAGGATCTCCTCTGTCTCCAAACTCCCAGAGGCATGGAACGCCAGAAACTCAGACTGGGAAGAGACCTGGCAGCTACGTGTCCTCTCTTTCCAGCTAGGCCAGGTACCAACAGCAGGACAGACTGCCCGCTATCATTAACCATGCCCACATTAGCTACCAAGGCTGCCATTCCACCACTGAACTGCTGGGAAGTTCTTTGCATTTTTTATTTTCTTAACCCACTTGCTGTTAGTGTGCATGGAAAGTTCTTAAATGTTGAGTCCCAACCTGTACCCCTGTGACCGAGACCTGCTGGTCTAAGGTCTAGCCTCTGGAGTGACCCAGAGACACCCGTTCTGTCTTCTACCCCCTACTCAAAGAAGCACACCAGCCGGCCTCATCCAGGTTGAAACAGATGCCATCTCTCCCGAGATTCCTGGCAAGGGTTGCTCTCCATCCTGCCTGCTCACTGCAATGTCCCCAGGTTACCACTGAATCACTGCCACCAGGACAGACCGGGACACATCAGATGTGGCTCTACCAGCAGCGACAGTGACCACCATGCTGTCTTCCAGTTGTCATGGGATCTCCAGTCTGCAGACTGCTTCCGTGAACAGATCGGCGGGTATGTGCATACATGGACTTTTCTGGGAAGGGAGCCCGGAGCTTCTCAAAGGGCCTCCTTGCCAAATGGAATTAATCCACAATCTTAGATTGTTTTCATATGATCTGATTCTAAGCCAGGTCTCCCCCAGTGTCAGAACATGTGAAAATAACTTCTTAAATCCAAATGCAGAACCTTATATTTATTTATTCCACATTTATCTCATTCACTCTGGCTCATCATTTGAGTTTTTCAAGATACATTTTAATCTTGATTTCTTTCACCCATCTGTCATGTGGGATTGTGTTTTTGGATTGTGTCAGCTGCAAATTCCATAAGCATACTTTTTGTTTGTTTTCATACAAGTGATTGATTAAAATGTAGACCAGGACAGAGCCAAGAACAGGCCTCTGGTACTCAAGCCCCTAGGGATCTCCAGCCACACAGACACCAATTCATTCATCGACACCCCCTGGGCATATATATCTGTTCAATGAGATGCAAGTCCACCTGGGAGTACTGACCATGGTGTGGTTACATCTCACATCTCAACTGCTTTTCCGCAAGGATCTCCTAAGAGACTGTTGTGCTTTATTGAAATCATATTAGCTATGTCTACACATTCTCTGGCCTCCCAACCTAGTAAGAGGATAAAAGAAAACTGATGTAAGAGGATAAAAGAAAACTGATTTAATTTGTAGGAATTATTCTAGGTGAATTTAAGCTAGGCCCAGTGGTTACCCTTATTTTTTGTTTGTTTTTTTTTTAAGACAGAGTCTCTTCTGTCGCTCAGGATGGAGTGCAGTGGCACAATCTCAGCTCACTGCAACCTCTGCCTCCCGAATTCAAGCGATTCTTCTTCCTCAGCCTCCCGAGTAGCTGGGACTACAGGTGCACACAACCATGCCCAGCTAATTTTTGTATTTTTTGTAGAGACAGGGTTTCACCATGTTGGCCAGGCTGGTCTCGAACTCCTGACCTCAAGTAATCCACCCACCTTGGCCTCCCAAAGTGCTGGGATTACAGGCTTGAGCCACTGCACCCAGCTGCCATATCCATTTCTAAACACTCAGAACCCCTGTCCTTGTCATACAAGCCCTATAGGGGAGGGTTTGGTAGGAATTGATAATCTTGGTGGAATTTCCCCCCATTTTATGGATTCCACCTCTGGTCTTACGGCATTTCTCAAAGATTAAAGACAGAGGCACTAATATCATTTTTGGAAACCCTTCAGAACCTACAATACACTTGTATTTGAATCTCTTAAAAGTAATCAGATTCCCTGTTCATATAGCCTCACACGTTCTTAGTTGCAGTTTCTACCTTTTTCATTTATCCAACCCTGTCAGTTCCACACACTCTCTCTGTTTCTCAGGCCTCTCCCACTTAGAATGTTCTATTCCCTTGATAGGGTCCAGAATATGCCACCCTAAAATATGCCACTTTGACATATGGATCATTTTAAGCTGAAGGCAATTCAGAATCAACAGGAAGAGTTCTCTACCCTCTCATCTGCCAGAAAGTAGGGCATAAATTTCCCTTTGGGGAGGGAGCTGCCCTACTCCCCATCCCTCACCCCATACCCTCCCATACCCCCACTGCCCACCCTAAACCAGGGAGGGAAGAGTGACTCATCATCAAACATGCCAAGGAATCAACACCAAGATTAGTTTGCATAAGCAAAGCTTACTAAAATAGCCTTTATCTCCTATTGTTCCTCCGTGTATTTCCTAGTCACTTCCCTTAATTTACCAGCTCTTGAAACCCAAGCCCTCTTTCCTTTGTTAAAAAGGTGTGTAAGCCCCTGAGTCTAAATTCTTCTTTGAGTTTCACTTATTATCTGTGAAATCCCATGAACATAAATATTAAGAAACATTAGGTACCTTTTCTCCTGCTAATTTGTCTTTGATAGTTTAATTTACAGGCCCCTAGACACTGAACTTAAGAGGGCAGAGGAAAAGCTTTTTCCTCCCTAGCACTCTCTACCTCCTAATCTCTGGGAAGCTCCTATTCATTCTTCAGGGTTCATTGCACATGTGTTTTCCTTCTGGGAAGCCACAGGGCAGTAATACCTCTATTATTGCACTTACCCCTGGACACAGGAAACAGTGTCATATTCGTCTTCTTTTTAACCCTAGCACTTAGCCCAGAGCTTAGCACACAGCAGCACTCAATAAATGTTTGCTGACTGAATGTGATGTGTGGGGTTTTTGTTGTTGTTGTTGTTGTTGTTGTTGTTTTTTTTGAAATGGAGTCTCTCTCTCTCTGTCACCCAGGGTAGAGTGCAGTGGTGCGATCTCAGTTCACTGCAACCTCTGCCTCCCAGGTTCCAGCAATTCTGCCTCAGCCTCCGACTAGCTGGGGTTACAGGCATCCGCCACCACAGCTAGCTAATTTTTGTACTTTTAGTAGAGACGAGGTTTCACCATGTTGGCCAGGCTGGTCTCAAACTCCTGACCTCAGGTGATCCACCCACTTCAGCTTCCCAAAGTGCTGGGATTACAGGCGTGAGCCACTGTGCCTGACTGAATATGATCCTTATTCCCAAACCATCTCTTCCAAGAAGCACTGTCTTCCTAACCTACCCCAAGTTTGTTCTGAGTTCTCATAGCACTTAAAAAATAATACCTAAGTAACATCTCCACTCTACTTGCATGGCTTAATAAAGGGGACATGTATAGTCTGTGTGTGAATATATTATTTTAAGCTAAAATCTCAACAACTGACACTATGTATTTTCTACTTACTTAGTCCCCCACAGGATTCTTGGAACGTCTAGAATCTTTCTTTAACTAATTAGATGTGCTTTTAACAAGGAGTGTGCAAATTGAATTGCATAAATGCTCTGACATGCATGCTCACCCAAGATGCTCATCACCACCAAGATGGCGAACAGAAGGACCGCGATGGCACCCAGCAGGAGACGTGTGGTGGTGTCTAGGAGAAGAGAGAGGAGTTCAACATCCCACCACCTGTCCCACTGCCATCCCACCACCAGCCCCATATCCTGCTAATGAGAAACAGGGGGAGGTGGAGCCCAGCAAACTGTGTTTTGTTGTTGTTGTTGTTGTTTTGAGACGGGGTTTCACCGTGTTGGCCAGGCTGGTCTTGAACTCCTGACCTCAAATGATCCGCCCACCTCAGCCTCCCAAAGTGCCGGGATTACAGGTGTGAGCCACCACACCCGGCCAACAAGCTGTGTTTAAACAAGCCCTCCAGGTGATTCTGATGCAGGCTGGAGTTTGCGACCCACTGATGTAGAATGCAGTTCTGATTCTGTGACTCCTCAGCTTGAAACCCTCCCTGCCGGGCTACCCACTGCTCACAGAATCTTCAGTGATGGTCAGAGCTTTCCACCTTGAATTACCTGCTCTTCTCTATGCGGTCGCAGGTTTCAGCCACATGGGTTCCTCAAAATAACCCATTCAGCCCTCACAGCCCTGCTACTGAATCTTTGCTCCCGAGGTCTCCTCCTCCACCTCCTCCATAGATACTTTCTAAAACTCGCCCACCTCTACACTATCCGTCCTCTTCCTGATCCCCTGGGTTCTCCCTTTGTTATTTTCATTTATTTATTTTATTTTGTTATCATTTAATATTCTCATTTTATATTTAACGAGAGAAACCTTTTAGACTTTAAACCTATGGTATTTTAAGAATTTTTTAAGTTGTGATGAAAATATGTAACATAAAATTTGCAATTTTAACCATTTTTTAATGTACAGTTAGTGGCATTAAGTACATTCACAATGTCGTGCAACCATCATCACTGTCTGTTTGCAAACTTTTTCATCATCCCAGACAGAAGTTCTGTCCCCTTAAACAACTCCCATCCCTTCCTCTCCCCAGCCCCTGGCAACCACCCTTCTCCTTTCTGTCTCTATGAATTGGACCACTCTAGGAAGCTCATATAAGAGGAAACATCCAGTATTTGTCCTTTTGTGTCTGGTTCCTTTCACAGCATGTTTTCAAGGCTCATCCATGTTGTCACATACGTCAGAACTTCATTCCATCTTAAGGCTGAATAATGTTCCACTGTATAGCAAGACCACGTTGTGTTTATCCATTCATCTGTTGGTAGACATTTTGGCTGTTTCCACCTTTTGGCTATTGTGAATAATGCAGCTAAGAACATGGTGTATGAGTATCTGTTCAAGTCCTTGCTTTCAATTCTTTTGGGTATATGCTTAGGAGTGGAGTTGCTGGATCACATGGTAGTTTTACTTGTTTTGTTTTTTTACTAAAGAACACTTATTTATTTTTACCAAAACTTTATCTTGAGGACATGGCTAAACTGTGTTTCCACCCTCCCCCCTCCAACTTGAAGAAGGGTTACTACAGTGAATGTTATGCATTCCAGCTGAATGGACTGGAACCCAGTTGGAGACTGAAGGACTGGAACCAACATTAACTGACAAAGAACAACTTCCATCTAAATCATCATAAAAATGTTTGAGTAAAAAAAAAGAAAGAAAAGAAAAAAAGAGGGGGCAACAGGGGTTTCTGATTGAACAAGATCTTCACATTTCATCTAATACAGTCCATCTTGGCTAGAGTATAACAAAGTGGAAACAGGATTACTATGATGCAAAACTTCCACTACAGCACACTGTACACACCCGTGTTCCAAGCCCACCCCCATCCCCCAATGCTTCCAACACAGTTATTTCTCAGCCTGTTGAGCCTGCCGATGAAGAAGCATATAGATCTTCTCTTTAATCCAGTCTTTTTTTATAAGGCTGGTATGTCTGGATATCAGCTCGGTAAACCAGGCAGCTGAGGTCTGCCAGATCATTGATGAAATCAAACAACTGACTGATGTCATATGTGATAGAGGGACTGTTGGGATTCATTCTTTTCACATGTCTTCATACATTTCACAAATGCCTTCCATGCATTCATTCACAGATTCATAGTCAGCATAAGTTCTGCCTTCTGGCCTCTTGGTAGTCTGTACCAGCAAAATGGTGTGAGACATCGCGCCAAACTCTCTTCGTTACAGCCGCTGCCGACACCGCCGCCGCTCCCAGTAGTTCTTTCTGAGGAACCACAAACTCCATCACTGGTTGCACAACTTTACATTCTCACTAGCAATAGACGAGGGTTCCAGTTTCTCCACATCCTCACCAACACTTGTTGGTTTGCATTGTTTTGATTACGGCCCTCCTAGCAGGTGTGAATTCCCTTTACAACTTTGTTTGGATTTTTTTTTTTTAACCATCTTAACCATTAAGTGCACAGTTAAGTGCAGTTACGTTGTTGTGCACCCATTTTGAAAGTTTTTTTAGTCAATGTTATACATACATCATAGATGAAAACAGTGTCTCTGCAGCTCAGTGTTTGTCTGTAAACTGTTACTTGTCCATCATGATAAAAGTGCCAAAATTGAGAGGAAGAATCTGTAGCAATTCAGCATTACCCATATCCAAGTGCCTGTTGCTCGTTATTCATTTGTATTGTATTTTACAAAGGATTTTGAAAAGAAACCTGTTTCCTTCACCAAGGATAGTCTGAAAAGCACAGATTTAAGGAATCAAGAAATTCTAATAGGCTTCATTTAAAAAATAATAGTGCAGAGTGCAGTGGATTGCGCCTGTAATCCCAACACCTTGGGAGGCTGAGGCAGGCGGATCACTTGAAGTCAGGAGTTCGAGACCAGCCTGGCCAACATGGTGAAACCTTGTCTCTACAAAAATTACAGAAATCAGCCGGGTGTGGTGGTGTGTGCCTGTAATCCCAGCTACTCTATAGGCTGAGGCAGGAGAATCGATTGAACTCAGGAGACGGAGGTTGCAGTGAGCCAAGATCACATCGGTGCACTCCAATCTGAGTGACAAAGCAAGACTCTGTCTCCAAAAAATAATAATAGTAGTAATAACATTGCTCCTTCCCCAAAGCCAACCATTTTCAACTCTTTTAGCTGACTCTTTTGGTATTAGCTCCAAATTTCTAAATGCCATGTGTATGTAAATACTTCTAGATTTTTTTCTGTTTTAGATATAATTTATTGACTTCCCATTATAGTGATGCAGACTTAATTCTCTGCATTACCACTCTACCCTGACCACTCACTCCCTGCCCTCTCAATATTATAGTTTGTATTAGCTTGATACTTTGGTGTTATATTCTTAGGTCAGTGTAAACAGTACTCTCAGCAAAGCCATGCCGTGTGCTATGATCATATCCACAGAACTTCGTTTCCCTGTTAATCCTGGTCTTCTTTTCCCTTTGCTCAGTTTCTGTATGCATATCATATTTCAACGCCAAAACTCCTCTTTCATGATGAGACAAAATCGGAATTTCTCTTTTACTTTGGTCTTAGTTCAGTCTGCTACAACAAACTGTCATAGACTGGGTGGCTTAAACAACAGACATTTATTTCTCCTGATAGTTCTAGAGGCTAGAGCAGGGTGCCAGCATGGTCAGGTTCTGGTGGGGGCCCACTTCCCGGCTTACTGACAGTTGCTTTTTTACTGTGTCCTCACAGAGTGGAGAGAGGAAGTTCTGGTGTCTCTTCCTCTTCTTATAAGGGTAGTAATTCCATCATGGGAGCTCTCCCTCATGACCTCATCTAAACCTAATTACCGCTCAATTACTCACCTCAATATCATCACGTTGGAGGTTAGTGATTCAACCTATAAATTTGGGGAGGAAACCAACATGCAGGCCATAATGACCATCTTGAAGAAATGTCCCTTGGAACTTTCTGACCTGCTCGAATCTGACTAGTTGCCTTCTAAGCCCAGCTGCCATCCAGGGTCTCCCCACACCAGCAGTCTGAGGATTTATCTGCCCCTCTCCTATGTTGACTCCTCTATTCCTTTTCTCCCATACCTTCCCCTTCCTTGGTTTACTCCCTCATCTTGGTGAAGCACATCATCCAATGGCTGCCTGAGGAAGGGTAGAGCCAGAGCATTGCACTGCACAAACCCGAGGAGCAAAGATTCTCATTGTGTTCCATGGTGCGCTGGTGAATGTTGCTCGTGGAATTGTGAACCCAGAGGACTAAGTATTATAGATCGAGAATAATTTTCCTTCAGAATTTTGAAGGTATCACTTAATTGTCTTCTAACTCCAGTGTTGCTTTCAAAAAGTCTAGGTCCATTCTCACCCATGATCCTTTTCAACTGCTTAATTATTTTCTTTCTAGATGCTTTTAGGGTCTTCATCACACAATGTTCTAAAATTTCATCATTGCGTGCCATGCCTTGGTTTGGTCTGTTTCATCTACTCTAGTAGGCCCTTTCAATCTGGAAAGTGGTATTTTTCAGTTCCAGGAAATATTCTTTCTTTTCTTTTCTTTTTTTTTTTTTTTTTTTGAGACAGAGTCTCGCTCTGTTGCCCAGGCTGGAGTGCAATGGCATGATCTCAGCTCACTGCAACTTCCACCTCTTGGATTCAAGCAATTTTCTTGCCTCAGCCTCCCAGGTAGCTGGGATTACAGGTGCCTGCCAACACACCTGGCTAATTTTTTGTATTTTTAGTAGAAATGGGGTTTCACCATGTTGGCCAGGCTGGTCTTGAATTCCTGACCTCAGGTGATCCACCCACCTCGGCCTCCCGCAGTGCTGGGATTACAGGCATGAGCCACTGTGCCCAGCCAGGAAATTTTCTTTAATTATATTATTGATGATTTCTTCTCTTCCATGTTTTGTTTTCTTCTGGAAGGCATAGTCTTCAAATGTTGGATCTCTTAGATTGGTCCTCCAAATTTCTCATCTTATTTTCCCCTCTTGCTTGCTATCTCTTTGCCTTTTTGCTCTATTTCCTGGAACATTTTCTCAATGTTATCATCCTACCCTTCTACTGAGTTCTTAATTTCTGTGACTATATTTTTAATTTCCAAGGTTTGCTTGGTTTTGTTCCTGCTGTTCTATGAATACCCACTCTTAAAGAATCCTATTCTTGTTTTAATGATGCAGTACTTTCTCTTTTCT